GTATATCTTACAACTGAGAGTTTCTCAACTATAATGATATGTATAAAGTCCCAAAACTTATCTTACTACAAAAATGTTTTTAATAGCTTATCATGAAATTAGGACTTAAAGAAACAGATATTATCTGATTCTACAGCCCATTATGAAGATATCCTACTCCCATTCAAACAAAGAGAAAACTAAGGCTGATGAAATCAGGAAAAATAGGAGAGGAGAAGCATTTCTGGAATGTGGGTATAGGAATCTCCAAAAATCTGCTCCTCTAAAAAGCAGTGAGAACATTAGCAAAAAATCACCAAAATCAATTTTTCACAACTCTAGAAATTAACCAAAGGCTTGCAATAATCCATAGAACATTTATTAAAGAAAAGCAGCTGAATCTCAATGAGAACAGTGAGCTGTGTGGGATTTTCATTTACCCCGTATCAATAACCTTCTCTCTAACTCTGCAGTAGCCTTGAAAACCAGCAGCCTCACAATGATGGTAGCTATGAAAAAAAGCAGCCTTTGATCCATAAGAGGGGACAGAATTGGGTTTGGAGTTTTCCCAGATGTCCCATATCTAGAGAATTGTCACTATTTGACCTATATAGAAGCTGCCTGCAAAATCCTCACTTGAATGTTTTTTCTTTATTTGTCCTGGATTAAAGCTCACTCAGTGAAAAACTCAATCCCTATGACATTTGTCAAAAACAGTTAGAGGCAACAGTTTTACTAGCAGGTGCCTGAGGCAGTGATACCAATTGAGGCAAACAAGGGGTTTACCCCCCCCAAAAAGAAAGAAAGAAAGAAAGAAAGAAAGAAAGAAAGAGAAAGAAAGAAAGAAAGAAAGAAAGAAAGAAAGAAAGAAAGAAAGAGAAAGAAAGAAAGAAAGAAAGAAAGAAAGAAAGAAAAAGAAAGAAAGAAAGAAAGAAAGAAAAGAAAAAGAAAACCTCGTGGATGAGATGTCCTTAAGAAGCTTTCAAAAGATCTGATGTATTCCTGAGGATCTAGAAGTCCACCCATATGTGTGGTACTATGCATCTGCCCAGGAAAAACCTAGTAAGGCTCTATCTCTCACCTCTTGTTGACCTAGAAGCTCTGTGTAAGCAAAGCTGTAAAGTTCTGGAGTGTCCATGGCATGCCTCAATACTTTGTCCAAGCATTAGCTGACTACTAAGCTACTGAGCAGAGACTTCAGTAGGTATACAAAAAATAATATAGACTTTAAAAATTAGTTCAGGAAAGTCAGTAAACAAAAAGTAGTGAGGGCAATAACAACAAGAAAAAACAATAGACTGAAAATAACTTTGACTTTGATCACTTAAGACTCTCAAAGCTCATGAATATAATTTTGTTATATTAATAATAAATTATACTCGTACAACAATTAACAAAGTATATTCACTCACACCTATCATTCTATTTGATCTTCACTCAAATCCCAGGAATTCAGTGACAATTAGATAGCACTTTGCCTTATTTTTGACTCCATACACTAGCTCTTTGGGATTAATGAAGTATTTGGACTGATTTATGCCATCACACTTTGCATCTGCAATTTGTCATATTTTTCTTTACATTTTTCTTTTGTTGTTGTTGTTTTAGCTTGGTTTTTCAAGTTTTAAAACTCTACAGTATAATTAGAGGGTGCTGGCTGGTTTGATGGTAGTTATTTGTGTCCATGTATATGTTGAACCTACTGATTGGAGAGCCTGTACCTCAATTTCATTCCACATTTATTCCTTCAAATTTCAGCCTTCTTTCTCCATTCTCATATTTTACATCCAAACTTAACTTACAGATAGAAAAAGCAGCCTAGAGAAATAAGGCCCAAAATTGAACACTATGGAGACAATTCTGAAAACACAACCCTCTGATTCATTGGACTTTTCATTCCAGTAGTTTTCAAGCTTTAGAATAATCAAGGTTCACCTGAGGGGTTTATCAAAAGTGCAGAATTCAGAGTCCCATGCAGAGATTCTGATACAATAGGTCTGAATGAAGGCCAGGAATATGAGCATCAAACAGTATCCTAGTAGATTCAAAGGTGTGTGATATGTGTTATTTAGTGACTTCACACTATAATCTGAGAGATTAAAAACAAACACACTCCTAACATGAGTTTTTTAAAATTGTGATTTATACTTTTAAACAAAAGCAGAATAAAGAAAAAAAATCTATTGAATTAAGGGTTCTGCTTATCTTATTTAGAACAAAAGTTTTTAAAACTTCCCATTTGATGATTCAAAACATCTTTTCCTAAAAGGTGTCTTTTAAAAAACTTCTTTGAGCTGTCTTATTTTAACATGATGCAATAAGAAATATGCACTACTACAAAGATCCTCTCATTATTTGGAAACTTTCTGCCATGATAATTTTGTCTCAGGAGAAATGAGAACATTCTACAAAATTACCTAGGGATAATTTATAGAAAGCTGACTCAAGAAACAGGTGTTACTGTTGGAATGATGAATCTTGTCCTTTTCCTCACTCATAAATTTCTAATATATGAGCCTCTAGACTCTAAATCAGATGTTGGGTTCACATGTATTTATGTCATTAATTCTCTTTCACTGAGAAAATCAAGAGGTAGATGATCTCTACATATCTTGCCGGCTGTTCCACACACCACATGCACTGAGCACAGTATCAGTGGAGATGCTGATGCCACAGTAGCTCCATCTTACACTTCTCCCAGCACCAGAATGTCGGATGCCGTTCTTGAAAAGTATTTGCATCTCTGTACTATGAACTTGGCTGCAACATTAGCTAGCATTCCATTTCCAGATGGCTCTTGTTACTACCTAATTATTTTTAAACGCTGATTTTATTTCAAACAATTTACCATTGTCAAGGGTCACCTCCAAGTACAACATTGCTGCAATAAAATATTTTTGGTTCTAGGTCTATGGTTAGGAGAGTTCAAGAATGGCCTTTTTTAGAGTGATTGATAGACCATATGGCAGAAGCCATGGCTAAACTATAAATCCATTATTAAAATTTTAAAAACTATAAATAATTTTTATGACAATTAGTCACAATTATTATTTATTTTATTTGTTTAAATTTCCAACTGTCTTGATAAATGATTTAGAAAGAATCAAAGAAATATATTCATTCATTCATTCATTATTCTGATATTTATTGAGGTCTTATTGTGTATGGCAATATATAAACAGATTCCTTCTCTCAAAAACTTTGCATCCTAGTGGAAGAGGAAATTAATGCAACTTATCAAAATCTTGTGAAAGTGTATGCAGAAAGGTAATATGATTAGGTGACAAGGGTTAAAGAAAGTTTTGGGGATTCTTATATATCTCCTTTGCATTATTAAGCTATTTTTTAGACTTAATACTGATTGGAGGCATTGGATTTAAGGGGAAAAATAAGTCTAAATTTGCACATGGATTAAATACACTATTTGATCGATTATGTTCTTGCTTTTAAGTTTTAGTTCATTATAAGTAATAACACATAGAATTAACACACTGTGCATCCTATAAGGATGTTGTTTACCTGGACTTACTCACTCTGGGCACCTATGTGTTGATTCTGATAGAGCAAAATTATATATATTGTATTTATACAATACACATACACATTACCTTGAAGAGTTTTTTTTTTTAAACACAAGATTTATGAAGGCCTCAAAGAATTTGGTGAAAATGATTAAATCCAAAGTGTAGAATGAGTGTTTATGTATATTAAAATGTGTGGAGAGTAGGGATGGAGTATAAGTGTGTTTGCATTTGTTTTCATAAAAGTTTTGGGCCACTATTAATTCTTTCTTACTTGGGGGATTCTCTTCTTTGTATACCATGCTGCTCTTTTCTTAGACCATTTTACTCAGGATCCCTTACATTGAAGATCTTCAAAATATTCCCTTTATTTTTGTACTTGCTTAAAGTACAGCCCACTTTCTGAGTCTTTATCAGATGTTGTCTGAAGAAGGTGATGTTTCCCTCCAGACAATCTGTAAAATGTCACCATGTTATTCTGTTTCTGAATGTGCCAGCCACGTGACACTTCAGCTCTCTGCATCCTCTTGCCTGAGCACTCTGCCTTACGTCCCTCTCCTGGCTATGCTTCCTCTGACTACATAAGCCTACAGCTATGGAAATGGGATAAGAATATTTTTAAATGCTTTTTTAACCCAGAAGAGTAATTTCTTTGATCCCCCTGGGTAAGGAATCATAATGTTGGCTGTGTAACATAGTAGGCATTTCTGGTAGCTATGGCTTAGGGGAATTTTTAATTAATCACTTCACACCAATTATTCTGAGAGCTACATTACCATTTACAATTTTTATTTCTCTCTGCAGGCTACCATTGATTTAAAAAAGTAAATTTTTATATGTTATTTTTTTTAATGATGATATTTCTATATAGTCCAGACTCCAACCTGTCATCGATTGCTGAGCCCATATATCTGACAATGTCAGTAAACCCCTGGAAAGCATGCATACGGTGCCATGCCAAAGTAGAGTAATCCATCCTTTGTTATGATTATAATATAGAGATTTAAATCAAGAGCTATATATTCTATTTGTCTTAAATACTATAATATTAATTTGTTTTGTGAGCTTACAAGAGTTTCTATATACATGCACTTATTCATTTAACCAATAATGATAATTTCACATATAATAAATTATGAGATGATTCTCACATACTTAAAAATTTTTTAATAATCACAAATTATCACTGATCTAATTCCACAATATTTATAGAAGATTCACATTCCAAATGGACATTCTGTGCTGGTCTTTAGGAAAAATAATTCCTTCGCTTGAGGTGTTATCTACCCTTCTTTGCAAAGTCAGTTTGCAGCCTCTGCACCACAATGAAAAAACATCACTGAATCAAGATTTAACCTGAAGTAGAGTGTATCTTTACACAGTCTCCCTAAACAAGCCTGAATTTTTTGCAGGCATTTAATGTTATGAAAGAGAAATACCTTCGTTGTGGATTTCCTTTGGCTAAAAGCAATTTATCAGTAAATAGCAATGTCTACTCACGTTTATCTTGTTCTGCTTCTACTCCTTCACTTTCTGTGTCACTTGGCAAGATCCATGGCTGATGAACTACTTGCAATTGCTTTAAAGATTCATCCTGCCAAAGAAAAAGTTCATTCTGGATTAAACTCTAGATGGATATCATGAATACCAACATGGGTGAACACTTCATCTCTATGAATTATATGTCAAAGAAGAAGAAGAAGAAGAAGAAGAAGAAGAATTTCCTCACAACAGAGAAGAGTTCTAAGTTTAAATTCATTTTCAAGTCGAAGTCATGCCATAAACCCTGAACTCATTTTTTATATTCCCTTTTTAATAAGATTTAATGTTTTAATAAGAGGAAATATCTAGACTCTGTTCCTTCCTGAATTAATATTTTTATGGAAATCTTGGCAAGCATGCTTAGAAATATAACAATGAAATATTCAATATAAAATTGCACAACATGTGCCTGTTTGCCATCAAAGTTTCAAACTCCTTTTAATGAGAATAAAGATTAGTAGAATTTAGAGAACATTCCCAACTTTAACTTTCAGTATTACTTACTTCACTGACTTCTTCCTCTTCTCACTTCCTTATTTTTGTTAAGATATTTCTCATACTTCCTTCTTGCTCTATGCTTTCTGTCATTGCCCTAAAGCAGACCCTCATCATCTCCCACCCTGACTGCAGTAATAGCCATCTATGATGTTTTCTAGGGTCAAGTTCCTTCCTAATTCTCCCCACCAGTTTCCTGACAGAGTGGGCTTTTGAAGATGCCATATAAGGTACTCATTACCTTTTCATAATCTTCCAGTGGCTTCATAATTCTCAGGCTAAAATCTAAACTCAAGGCCCCTCATAATCTGTACTTGTCTACCCCAATATACCACCACTTCCATCTCCATCCCACCTCAACTAACACTTCCACTCTAGCTACAGTTAACTGGTAGCTCCTCAAGTTGGTTATTCTGTCTGATATGCCAAGATGTTTTCACATATTATACTTCCTGCCTTCATTTATTTATGTCTCAAACATTGACATTTCTCCCAAGGCTTAGATGTCATCTCCACTGAAAGCCTTCATCAGGGAAGACAGAACTACTCCTCTATTCCTTTATGTGCCTATTGTGCCAACGTAATAATTACTGCATAGTAATTGCCCTTTCATATTTTCCTGCTTCAAAAATAATGTGGAAAGTCCCTAAGGGTGTGGATAACTTTTGTCACCTCTAAATTTCAAATTTATTGAGCCATGATGTAAGAAAATCTTTTCAAATATATTTCAAAATTTTCAAACAAAATCACATGACCTGTCAATTTACTCTTGACTTTTCAAATTCATCCATCATCTTCCCCCTCTTTCAATAATCTTTTTCTCCAACCTGAGGTATTTTGTTCAGACAAATGCTGACAAGATAAAAATAAGGACCCACAACTCCTGATTTCTAAGAAAGATGATATCACCAAGTATTAAATGTCCACTTTGCTTAAAATGATTCCTGTATGAGAGAAACATCCTATTTGCGACCCCTTGATTGTGACAGTTACCGCTGGAGATGTTTAGTCCCGATCTAGAGTTTCAAAAAGTTACAACTTTTCAGGAGTTTGGGAGGGGAATAGGGGGTTGAATAGGTGAATCAGAGGGGATATTTTAGGGAAGTGAAACAATTTTGTATTATAATGGTAAATACAAAACACTAGCATTTGTCAAAACCTATAGAACTTCACACAACAGGGTAAAACTTAGTGTATGCAAATGAAAAAAATCGATTAGAAGATTGGGGGATCCCAAGATGGAAGGCAAAATACTAAAAAAGGATCTAGATACATTACAAATGTATGAAATGTAACTGAAGACGGTGGGGGAATAAGGTTCTAACCTAAGTCACTTTGAAAATGAGTGGAGTCTGTAAAACCAAAACCAAAAGGAACTGAGCACAAATACTGTGTACTAATTGATAAAGTTGCTCCCTATGTACATATATGTTAACAATTCTGAAACTACTGTACATATATTCTGGAATTGAACAATGAAGTAAATGGATGACAGATGCCAGGAGCCAAATATTTCACTGTTGAAGTGGGAGTTAATAGAAAGCACGGCTAGACTCATTTACGTATAATGTACTAGAATTGGAGCCATCAGTATGAACTCATGTTTAGCTTACTATATATACAGAAGGCTACATAAAGAAGTATTTACGGATATTTGTATGTACATGGATTACTATATACACATATATCTCTCTGCTTTGGCAGCTGAGGGGGCTTAGAAGCAATGACATCCCAATAGCAATGAACACAACTATCACCCAGATCTTGATTCCTAATACTATTCTCCAATGAAAGAATCAGAACTCTTGAAGAAATGACTGATTCTAGGACTGAGGCAGGAAAGATACAAGATAAGCCTGAAGCATATTGTAGTGCCAGAAAGCAAGTGTTTACATATGCATGCACACACACACACACACTCATACACACAAACTCTCACACACACACACTCACGCACACAAACTCTCTCTCTCTCTCTCTCACACACACACACACACGCATAATGAGGGATATATCAAAGGGTTAAAGGAATCAACTGAAAATCTATCAATGGCCGAAGCTAGCACAATTTATACAACAAAATAAATAAGGTAGCACTGGGTTACTATGCAATAAAAAATAAATATCTGTGAGTCCATTCTGATAAAAATAAATGACTGACTAAATAAATTAATAGGTAAGAACAGATAAATATGCCATGCAAAAGGATTTCAAATAATTTATATAGATACTCTGCTCATAAGCAGGTGGAGAATAATTTCCCATTCCTTTAATGCACACTGTGTATAGTGACTTTCTACCAGAGCGCAATATGGAAAGGGAGGACAAAAAGAGTAACTTTACCATGCAGAAACCTGACAAACACCACCAAAAGCCAAGGGATTAAGGTCAACATCAATAGCAATGATTCATGTTGGTCCTATGTGCCCTTGGTAGGATATGATGAAAATGGAATCTGACCTCTATGGTTTTCCTCCTCAAAAATACATCATCCCAGTCTAAACCACAAGAAAAATATCACACAAATCTCACCTGAGGAACAATCAACAAAATATATGCCCAATACTCTTCAAAACTCTTACCATTATCAAACACAATGGAAGTCTGAGAAATTGTCACAACCAAGAAAAACCTAAAGATATAACTACAAAATATAATATGATGACTTGGATGGGGTCTTGAGATAGAAAAAGGACATTAGAGAAAAACCTGAGGAAACTTGAATAAAATACGGATTTAGTTACTAATAATGTATCGATATTGGTTTATTAATTGGAACAAATATACTAATATAAGATGTTAATAACAATTAAAAGGTCTATAGGAACTCTCTGCACTACCTTGTCAACAATTCCATAAACCTAAAACTGTCCTAAAATAAAAAGGTTTATTTAAAAAGTTAAAATAATCAAAACAGTATTTTTAAGTGACTTGCAATTTTAAAATAAAAGCACGGCTTTTTTCATCTTTTTTTTTTTTAGCACCGGCAACTCAAAAATAATCTGTTAATCAGATTAAAACTTAAATTCCAGAGAGTAGATCCTAAGAGTTCTCATCACAAGGAGAACATTTTTTAATTGTATCTGTCTGAGGCGATGGATGTTAACTAAAGCTGTTGTGGTAATCATTTCATAATATATGTAAATCAAACCATCTTAAACTTATACAGAGATGTATATCAATTACTTGTCAACAAAACTAGAAAAGATAAAAACAAAACCAAAAACTTATATTGCTGTCATGAGAGATGGGCTTTGCAGTGAAAAGTCCTTGCCTGAGGGGTCACAGGTTTTTTTTGTTTTGTTTTGTTTTACTATGGTTAATTTAGGGTAAGTCACTTCTCCTCTTGGGATGTAATGGAGTGGGTGAAGGTACTGGGTAAGATGATCTCTAGTATTTCACAAGTGGCAATTTCTAGGTCTAGATTCTTTAGACAGCCGGTAGAATGTGAGAACCACTACATGGGCTATTGTAGAGAAAGTTAGCCAAGAAAAAATATAGTCAATCTTGGAATACACACTTTACGTATAAATCAGTGTTTATTTTTTTAATTTAACTTATTTTTTTCTCAGATTTATCAATTATTGGATTTGGTCTTGCACGGCCATGACTAAACAAACAGCATAAATGCAAAAAAAAAGTCTTGGATGTAAAACTCCATAGCAGTATAGAGGACAGCAGAAATATAATTTCAAAAATTTTTGCATAACAGAGAAGAAAATTGCCTTCCTGCAATTTATTAAAAATAGAACACATGATCTCTGGTGTTTAAAAAAGAACTATGAAAAATAGCTTTTTTGGTTTTGTAAGTTAAAATCAAAATGGCTAAATCTTACTCATTTAAAACATAAAATTTTAAAGTAACCCTGAAAAAATGCTTTTAATTAAAAAAGTATTTTGGTTATTTACCTTTTGGGCCCAAATACTAAAACCTGTTTTTATAAGAAAAGATATAGCTAATAAGTCACTTGTGTTACTTTTTCCCACAATGGTTCAGAATACTAAGCAATCCTACTGACTGGTTTCCGGTTTTAATGGCTTTACTCCTGAACAGATAATAAGCATTCAGTTATTCTTTTGTTTATTGCAAATTATGTAAAGTACAAATGGAACATTAGCTCAGTAAAACATGTAGTTTGGGAAGAACTTTAAAATGCTGAGTTGTTGGAATTGTAGAGATAGTACAAATATTACTGTTAATAGATCATTTAAATGCTTTATTTGGTTTTCCCTTAAATGCAATTGGTAATATCATGCACCTGTTTGCTTCATTGATGCTGACAGGCAATACAATGTATGTTCAAACTTGAGCCCACAAGACTTTTTGATGGGGTCAAGAGCTGAAATCTTGAACATTTTTAAAAACAAGAGCCAGGGGCACCTGGGTGGCTCAGTCGTTGGGCGTCTGCCCTCGGCTCCGGTCATGGTCCCAGGGTCCTGGGATCGAGCCCTGCATCGGGCTCTCTGCTCTGCGGGAAGCCTACTCTTCCCTCCCACTCCCCCTGCTTGTGTTCCCTCTCTCACTGCGTCTCTCTCTTTCAAATAAATGAATAAAAT